ATGTATACAGTGCTCATGGTGCTGGTATATTTTTTTAAATAAATTTATTTATTTGTTTGTTTGTGGCTGCATTGGGTCTTTGTTGTTGCACACAGGCCTTCTCTAGTTGTAGCGAGCGGGGGCTACTCTTCATTGGCGGTGCGCAGGCTTCTCGTTGCAGTGTCTTCTCTTGTTGCGGAGCACGGGCTCTAGGCGTGCAGGCCTCAGTAGTTGTGGCTCGCGGGCTGTAGAGCGCAGGCTCAGTAGTTGTGGCGCACGGGCTTAGCTGCTCCGCGGCATGTGGGACCTTCCCGGACCAGGGCTTGAACCCGTGTCCCCTGCATTAGCAGGCGGGTTCTTAACCACTGCACCACCAGGGAAGCCCAGTGCTGATATTTTAAAAAGATAAAATTGACAAACATTTAGCTAGACCAGCTAAGAAAAGAAAGAAGATTCAAATAAATAAAATCAGAAATATGAGGAGACATCCAACTGACACCACAGAAATACAAGGGATTGTAAAAGACTACTATGAACAATTACACACCAACAAACTGGATAACCTAGAAGAAATGGATCAATTCCTAGAAACATACAACCTACCAAGGCTGAATCATGAAGAAATAGAAAACCTGAACAGACCAATACAAGTAAAGAGATTGAGTCAGTAATCAAAACCTCCCAACACAGAAAAGCCCAGGACCAGATGGCTTCACTGGTGAACTCTACCAAACCTGTAAAGAAAAATTAATGTCAATCCTTCTCAAACGCTTCCAAAAAACTGAAGAAGGGATATTCCCAAACTCATTGGCAAGCCCAGCATTACCCTGATAGCAAAGCCAAAGATACCACAAGGAGAGAGAACTACAGACCAATATCCCTGATGAATATGGATGCAAAATTCTCAACGAAATTCTAGCAAACCAAATTCACTAGCACATGAAAAGGGCCACACACCATGACAGTGATCCCTGGGATGCAAGGATGGTTCAACATACACAAACCTATAAATGTAATACACCACATTAAGAGAATACAGATAACAATCATACCATCTCAATAGATGCAGAAAAAGCATTTGAAAACTAGAATATCCTTTCACAATAAAAACTCTCAACAAATAGTTATAAAAGGAACATACTTCAACATAATAAAAGCCATATATGACAAACCCATAGCTAACATCATACTCAATGGTATAAAGTTGAAAGTGTTTCCTCTAAGATCAGGAACAGGACAAGACAAGGGTGCCCACTCTCACCATTTCTCCTCGATCTAGTATTGGAGGTTCCAGTCAGAACAATTAGGCTAGGGGGGAAAAAAAAAAGACATCCAAGTCAGAAAGGAATAAGTTAGTCTCTGCCTGCAGATAATATGATCTTATATATAGAAAATCCTAAAGGCACCACCAAAAAACTGTTAAAACTAATAAACAAATTCAGTACAGTTACAGGATACAATATTAACATACAAAAATCAGTTGTTTCTGTTTCTGTACACTAACAATGAACTATATGAAAGAGAAACAAATAAAACAATCTCAATTACAATAGCATCAAAAACAATAACTTATTTAGGAATAAATTTAACTAAGTAAGTGAAAGATCTGTACATTGAAAAATTATAAGACATTGATGAAGGAAACTCAAGACACAAACAATTGGAAAAATATCCTGTGTACATGGATTGGAAAAAGTAATATGGTTAAAATGTCTATACTACACAAAGCCATCTACAGATTCAATGCAATCCCTATCAAAATTCCAATGGCATTTTTCACAGAAATAGAAAAAACAATCCTGAAATTCTTATGGAACCACGGAAGACCCGAATAGCCAAAGCATACTTGAGGAAGAAGAACAAAGCTGGAGGTATCATGCGTCCTGATTTCAAACTATATCACAAAGCTATAGTAATCAAAACAGTATGGTACTGCCATAAAAACAGACACAGACCAATGAAAGAAAATCAACATCCCAGAAATCAACCCACACATATACGGTCAACTTGTATTTAACAAGGGAACCAAGAATATTCAATGGGGAAAGAACAGTGTCCTCAACACATGGTGTTGGGAAAACTGGATAATAACATGCAAAAGAATGAAATTGGACCCTTATCTTACACAACTCACAAAAATTAACTCAAAAGGGATTTAACACTTAAATGTGAGACCTGAAACCATAAAATTCGTAAAAGAAAACAGAGAAAAAGCTCCTTGACATTGGTCTTGGCAACAGTTTTTTGGATATGACACCTAAAGCACAAGCAACAAAAGCAAAAATAAACAAGTGAGGCTACATCTAACTAAAACACTTCTGCACAGCAAAAGAAATAATCAACAAAGTAAAAATGCAACCTACAGAAGGGAGAAAATATCTGCAGACCATCTATCTGATAAGGGGCTAATATACAAAATATATAAGGAATTCACATAACAGCAAAAAACAAATAAATCAATTGGAAAATGGGCAAAGGACTGGAATAGATACTTTTCCGAAGAAGACACACATATGGCCAACAGGCACATAAAAAGAGGCTCAACATCGCTAATTATTAGGGAAATGCAAATCAAAACCACAATGAGCTATCCCTTCACACCTATCAGAACAGCTATTATGAAAAAGTCAGAAAATAGTAAGTGCTGGCAAGGATGTGGAGAAAAGGGAATCTTTGTGCACCGTTGGTGGGAATGTAAATTGGCACAGCCGTGATGGGAAACAGTATGGAGGGTCCTCAAAAAAATTAAAAATAGAGCTACCATATGATCCAGCAATTCCACTTCTGGGAATATATCTGAAGGAAATATAAATTTTTCTCTAAGAACACCTTTCAATGTATTCCATGAGTTCTGATATGTTGACCTGTCGTATTTAATTGTCAATTAGAAATACTTTTCCACTCTGATCTCTTATTTGACGTTCTTCCTGGTCTGGTGTGTGGGTGACTTGAATAATGTTCAAAAGAGCAGGTGGGAAGAACAGAAAGCGTGCCCCGTGACCGCCGTATGCCGTGTTCTACACGTCGATTAGGTCAAGTGCACTAATCACGCCGTTTGGACATCCCACACCTTACTGACTTTTTTTTCTGTGCTGTGTTTCTTTTTTTCTTTTTTTTTTTTGTGGTACACGGGCCTCTCTCACTGTTGTGGCCTCTCCCGTTGCGGAGCACAGGCTCTGGACACGCAGGCTCAGCGGCCATGGCTCACGGGCCCAGCCGCTCCGCGGCATGTGGGATCTTGCTGGACCGGGGCATGAACCCATGTCCCCTGCATCGGCAGGCAGACTCTCAACCACTGTGCCACGAGGGAAGCCCTGTGCTGTGTTCCTTAAACGTCTGTTATAAATATTGACTTTTGTTTTTGCTGTATGCGGGCCTCCCACTGCTGTGGCCTCTCCCGTTGCAGAGCATAGGCTCCAGACGCGCAGGCTCAGCGGCCATGGCTCACGGGCCCAGCCGCTCCACAGCATGTGGGATCTTCCCAGACTGGGGCACGAACCTTTGTCCCCTGCATCGGCAGGCAGACTCTCAACCACTGCGCCACCAGGGAAGCCCATTAAATATTGACTTTGATGCCTTACAATTGTACAGCATCTTGATCCTTTCTCTCCAGGGCAAGGAAAGGGGGCTTTACAACGACTTAGCTCCTTTCCTGCCTGCCCCAACCTTCAGAGCAATGTTTTCCAACATTTTATTGTGAGGCAGCTTACACGGAGTACTAGATACACCTCCTCGTTGTTGTATTTGCCCCCCCGCCCCCCAACCTTCTGCTCTCAGAATCTCCTCCTGGGTCCATATTCCTGCTCTTGAAGAAAATGTCTTACAACTTCCTTTATAGGATGGAATCGTCTGCAGGTGACACCGTCATTCTTGTTCCTGTTTTTTTAAATGTTGCCCAATTCTCTATTTTTAATAACCTTGAGATATAATTTATATCCCCAAAACGTCACCCCTTCTAGTGTGACTTCTAGTGGATCTACAGAGTTGGGCCAACAGCACCACTAATTCCAGAACATCTTCGTCCTCTCCAGAAGAATCCGCATTTGCAGTATTAGTCACTCCCTACCTCCCCTCCCCCAGCCCAGGCCACTGCTCATCTGCTCTCTGTCTCCACGGATTTGCCCATTCCGGACGTTTCATACAAATAGAACCACATAATATGCGGGCTATTGGGTCTGGCTTCTCTCACTCAGCACGTGTTCAAGGTTCATCCACCATGAAACCTGTGTCAGTGCTTCCTTCCTTTTACGGCTGAGCTACAAGGCTGCTGTGTTGGTGGACCCCATCTTGTAGGCTGTTCCCAGTCTCCGGCTATCGTGAAAAGTGCGCTATGAATGTTCCTGTGCACATTTACGTGTGGACATACGGTTTCAATTCTCCTGGGTGTACACCTCAGAGCAGAGCTCTGGGCCAGATGCCAACTGTCACCGGCGTTCTTGAACAGCTGTTCTACTAAAGACCCGACTCCGTGCAGAGCATTTTTCCCATAACGCCTCTGCTTCTGATGTGCCCTCCCCTCATGAGGGTGGTCCGTCCTTCCTCTCTGGCTGCTTCTGGGTTATGCTTGTCTTCGACGTTCTGCGTGTGTCCAGGCACGGCTTCCTCTGTATTTCTACGTGAGATCTGTTCTGCTTCCCCAATCCTTTACGTGTCATCTTCCTTCTATTCTCTCCTTCTGGGATTCCAGACACACGTTAATTAGACCATCAATACGGCATGCTCCTTCAGACACGACTTTCTCTAAAGACCCCCCAGAGCTGGGACTTTCTGGGGCTGGAAGAGGCCATGCCATTCAACAGCGCAGCTTACTCGTGGGAGCACCCCAATTCTGAAGGCTCACGCTGCCTCGAGGGACACCGTGCCTGGAGACACTCCATCGTGCAGCCCCCTGCACCCCAGGCTCCATCACAGGACTGCCAGGACAGCCACGCCCCTTCCTCTGGAAGGGCCCACACAGCTACATCAGGGCCGCCACAGGCCCAGGGGCCATCTCCTAAGAGGAAACAACGTGACAGCCGCCGTGGTCATAAATACATTTTATTCCATTAGAAATGCACAATCACAGTGCTGACAGCATCCCCCTAGAAAAGTAGGTAAGCAACGTTTCCATCAAAATCGTTAGTCTTCTTTTGCAAATACCTATTCTCATTACACTGAACAGAGCACACAGCAAAAGGCTTCTGCTACTCCACTTTTTTTTCAATTTTGTTTTTTGTTATAAACACCATAGCAAATTAAAAAAGCTGTTTGAACAGAGAAAAATATCGTAGTTCTTGATTTCCCACGTGTACTTAACGCGACCACGCTGTGCTTCCCGCTCCTTCCCCGGACACGGCGGGGTGATCAAAAGAAACAGGGTCTTCAGGCGGGGGCGGCAGGGGCTACCGTCGTCTTTATTTACCGGGGCACTCTCCCCGAGGATGAGGCACTCGGATGCACTTGAGCAGAACGTGTGCGGGCCCCCTCCCGTGCGGAGCCGAGGGACGGGTGCGTGTGAACGGTGCGGGTGACGGGAACCAGCGCTGAGCGGTGGCTCTGGCTCGGGCCCTGTCTGGTCGGCGGCCGTCCCCTCACTGGATCTGGATGGCCCCATGCTCCAGCTGCATCTCGGACTGCAGGGTGGGCTGCAGGGCGTCGGCCGCCTGCAAGAGGGGAGAGGGCGCTTTCTATCAAAGGGCCCAGCGTGCGCATCCGGGCCACTCCCTGGTCACGGACACCAGCGGTTTTCAGGCACAGAGTAAACACACACCCGAGCTGGAGGGTGAGGCTGGGGGCCTGAGTGTCGCCCCTGCTCTGGGAGAGGATGCTCCCGGCAGCTGTGACAGATCCAGGGCCACGGTCCGTCTCTGTGGGGCCCTGTCTTGGCCCCTGCTCCCCCCACACCTACCCACCGCCTCCCACATGTGCCCCTCAGCTCCAGCCACCAGCGCTGCGTTCCCATTCCCACTGGCCGTGCACCCCAAGTGATCAGCATATTCACAGTTTTAAGGTAGTTTAAAGGAACAAAACACAGTCCTGGACTAAGTCACTGACATCCATCTCAGCCACTAAGAACGGGCCCCCAGATGGAGATCGCTTGGGGGGTTTTCAGACTCCCCTGAGCCGCTGGTCAAAGGCAACACCAGACTCTCAGAGGCGGGCTCCGCGGCTCCGCTGAGGACCTGTAGCTGGAGGGGCCCGGGGGTGGGGTGGGGTGTGGTGGTGCACGGCGGAGGCAGAGTCCTGCGGGGCCAGCGCTCCGCCTACGACTGCAGCTCAAGGGAAAGGCAACACGGCATTTTCGCAGCGGGGGTGGGGGGGTGGGGGCGGTTCCCCACCCATCTGAGGACTCAGCACAGGCCTCCTCCGCGCCGTCCCGAGGCCACAAGATGAGCTGGGCTGGGCACTCGGGAGGCCCACACTCTAGTGGGGAGCCCTGCCCTCCCCCCTCGTCCTCAAAACGCGGCAGGAGACTGGGGCCCCAGGCAGCAGCGAAGCACAGCGCAGCGGAGCAGCGCCAGCACAGATGGGGTGCCCTCTCGCCTGCCCATGGCTGCTCCGGGGAACGGGCCCACCCCTCACGCAGCCTCTGGGGCTCGGGGGGCTCGGGGACCTCGGGAGCCAGACCCGTCCTTCCCCAAGCACCAGATGAGGAGTATGACCCCGTTCCGAGCAGCAAACTCTGGAAGGAAACCCACAGGAGGGCGGGAGCCCTCCTGCTAACGAAGAGACCATTGGGAGACCTCTCCCTGTGCGTGAGGCAGGCGGGGGCCCAGGGAGGGGCCTGGGCCCCAGGGACTGAGCCCTTCTGCGGGGAAGACACTCCAGAAAGTGCACATGTCCCCCTCTGATCTACTGCTCTGTGTGCTACGTGGTCCCACTGGCGGGAAGTCAGGCGCCGGGAGCTCAGTGGACATGGCTCCCCTCAACAGTGACATCCGCACAAAGACCACAGACCTGGCCCAGGAAGACCTGCCACATGACACGCACCCCAGATTCAAGGCACACACTCCAAGTACCCCCGTGCGTGTGAAGCAGCAATGATGTGGGTGTCAGACCCGCCCAGCTCGGACGGAGCCCCAGGGTCCTTCTTTAGGACAGATGTCCCTCGCACCACATGAATAAGCTCGTCCACCCCCCACTCCAAGTTCTGCAAGCCTCGTGCCCGCTCGGTCAACCTCCAGAGCGGCACAGCGTCCAGGCCGTGGCTGCTGCCCACGTGGCACAGTGGACAGGTCTGGGGAGAGGAGGGGGCTGCACCTTCTCCAGGACACACGTTCCAGATCTCTGGGCCAGGTGGAGACTTGTTGTGAACCAGGGTTAAGTCCCCACAGGACCGCTGATCACCCAGCCAGCCACCTGGTCACCAGGGCCACCTTGGGCCCCCTGCCTGGCCCTGCTGAGCCGTGTTCCTCAGCAACTACCAGTGGGAACAGGACACGACACCTAGGACGGCGACCAGCGGAGGCCAGGAGGGGAGGGGACTGCGTGGAAACTCAGGGCTTTAATTCTAAGCGTCAAGGCCGAAGGCAGGATACGCGCAGCTCATCAGTGCTGGGCAGAGGAGGCGGTCCAGGAAGGAGGCAGGGAGGGGCCAACAGGCTGAGGTCACAGCGATGAGAGTGCCCCTGCCCAGAGGCGCTCAGCAGTGAGTCAGTGAGTCAAGCCCACAGCCCGAGGATTGACGGCACCCGTGTCACCCTGGCACCAGCAGCCTGAGCTGCTCCAAGGGCACCCTCTCCGGACCACGCTCTGACAGACCTTGATCACACTGCCCCCAAACAGGCTCAGGCACGAGCACGGGGGCCCACGCCTGGCTCCCCCATACCCAGGGGAGGCCACAATGCTCGCCCAACCAAGCACACCCACTGGGGCCAGAGGTGCGAACGCTTCGAACATCTCGAGCAGCAGCCCCCCTGCCGAACTCACGGCTCAGAAACTGTCCAGATGGAGCCCGAGCGCTGCTTTTCTGGGGCTCCCGGGAGAGCGCAACCGCGAGCAGCGCGGGAAGAGGACCGCAGCCCAGCGCAGCAGAGCTCGGCCCACCAGAGGATGCCATGGGGGAAAAGGGCAGAGGCCACAGGCAAGGGCTGCAAAGGGACTGCCCGTGGCCGGCAGGCGCGCAGACCCTGGGCCGGCCCTGCCCCAGCCCGAGGAACAAGGAGGTCTCAGGTACACTTAATTTGGCCTCTAAATTTATAGGTAAACATTTGCATGAGACAAGAGTTATCTCAAGAAATTGTTTAAGGCTGGTATCTGGGCCAAGAAGCAACCTCTCACCTTTACACTCTCAGGCACTTACAAGACACGGAGTCCCAAGCGAGCGCCCACGTCCACACCACGCACCTCTCGTGGAGCACTTACCTTCCTCGCGGGAGAAGGCCCAAGTGTGTTCACTACCTGCAGGAGGCCCAGCCCTGTCCACTTCCCAAAGGGAGGACCCACCTGGGCTGCAGCGGTGTGGTCGGTCACCGGCGCCAGCTGCACGTACTGGACCTGGATGTCGCTGCCTTGGAGCGGCGAGCCGTCCACCCCCGTGGCAGCAGGGTCCGAAGAAGCCACGGCTATCAGCTGGGCCCCCTGCAGCACCTGCAGACACAGAGCAGAACCGCGTCAGCATAGATAGCGCTGAGGGAATCTGCCCCGTGCTACCTGGACCGCGGGGCGGGGCACCTGCTGAGAAGGGTGTGGCATGCGGGTGCGCCGTGTGGACATGCACGGCAGGACCAGGCTGCTCCACTGCAACTGCAAGTCACCTCCCTCAAACATCCAAGTGCTGGATGCTGAGAGGGGCTTTTAGGCCTTACAGGAAAAAATACCCAAAGAGCGAACTGAACGCAGGGATGTGGCCAAGGGCGAGTCTGAGATGGAACAGGAGCTAAAGCACCTGGAGACCTTCCCAGAGTCACCGCTTTCTCAGGTTCAAGGAAAGGGGAGCCTGAGGGCAGCCAGGAGGACAGGCAGACGGCCGCAGGGCCTCGACCCTGGGGCAAGCAAGACACATTCACTCCGGGGAGAAGCGGCCCCCAGACAGTGGGCCACTAATCGAGTCTGAGAAACAAGCAGAAATGTGCACGTGAGTCACAAGGCTCCAGGCTCCAGAGGGAGTCGAGGAGGGCTGTGTGTGTGGAGAGGAGACACAAGCTGGAGGGTGAGGCCCAGATCCCGGGGGAGGATCTGACTAGCCTCCAAGGAGACAAGTCACGGATCACGGACCCCCGTCCCATGCACCAGGAACCCCACTTGGACTGTGCCTGCAGGGAGGGACACATGAGGCCCCCATGACGGGCTCTGGGTAACGCCATCACTCACGAGCACCCACACCAGGCCCACGGCGCCCTGCAATAGGCAGGCGGGCGGACTGGTGCCTCGATGCCCCACAGGGAGGATGGGGAGTGGGCGGGGGCCTCCGACGCTCTGCGTTCACGGGAGTGAGCTGCCATGAGCTGTGGGGCTTTTGACTTGGGGCTGCACTCCCACCCCCTCAAATGACACGCCCACTGGACCACCCCCTGGGGGCGCTCACCAGTTGCCCAGGCGGGGCGGCCGGAGTCACGCTTCCTGCCCCAGCCCACGGCCTCCCACACGGGGTCAGAGCTGAGGATGCTGAAAATACACGCTGCAGTTTCAAACGCGATTCTAGTTTTTGATGAGCTAAAGTTCTATTTCTTTAATAACGAATCCATCAGTGGAAAAAAGCAGGAAAATTCGATTTTCAGAATAAAAGACAGAAGAAAGTCCTAACTGGTTTTCCTTTTGTGTCTTCGGAAGCCATCTGCAAACACAGTTTCACATCTCGTAGCGGCCAGCTCTGCTGGGCAGAGTGACGGCCCAGAGACGGGTATGTCCCAATCCCGGGCCCCGGGACCTGGGCCGTGTGCCCTGACAACAAGGGCACTTTACAGATGGGGCTGAGCCGGTGATCAAGGTGGGAACGGCGTCCTGAAGCATCCGGTGGCCCCTCAGAAAGCAGAGAACCTTCCCACATAACACAGCGCGGACACCACGCAGCTCTGGAAGATGGAGCAGGGGCCACCAGCCAAGGAACGCAGCACCTCTGTCTCCCCGGGATTCTCCAGAGGGAACCAGCCCCGTGACCCCTAAACTTCAGCCAGCAAGGCCCGTGCTGGACTCATGACCTCCAGACTGTGAGAGGACACACTTGCGCATACTCCACCAGGTGTGGTCATGTGTCCCCGCAGACACAGCCCACGTAGGTGGCCACGCTCATCTCCTTGGCTTCCTCCTTCCGGGCGGGAACCAGCTTCTAGGTCCCCAAAGAGCTGACCTGACAACAATGGCTCTCTGTAAAACACCACTCTGTCCTGTATTAACTGTTTGTACTAATGAGTTCACGAGAGGTTTTAAAAAATTGGAGAAAACTGACATCCCCTCTATTATTCATTTTCTCTTCCCCAGAACTTCCCCACCACCAGATCATTCATGGTCAGAAGGACAGGCATGGGTCTGCCCAGTTCTGCAGCTCTGCCACCCGGTCGCCAGGGAGCAGCCACCCCCTGGACCCCGTGGGGACGAGCAGCCTCGGGCAGCAGCCGGTGTGGCCCCAGCAGGGCAGAGGGTAGCGGAGCTCAGGGGCCACCCACGCTCAAAGCCCAGCGCCCCTCCCCAGGAGGCCAGGAGCGCCTCCGCTGGGGTTCAGTCACCCTTGTGGCTTTTTACGAAAGCACAGCACGTCCCAGGAGGGCCTCCCGCCTACACACTCCCAGCAGGGACAGAAAGTCAAAGGATCCAAGCTGGGAAGCCAGCAGGACCTGAAGACAGGGGGACAGGAAGCTGAGTTTAGTCATTTTCCCGAAAAGAGCAAAAAGTCAAGAGCCCACGCGAAATCAGAGCCACGACACGTTTCCTTACTCTGAGCAAACCGAACAGACGGGCCTGTTCCTGCCCTCACAAACTACGCATCAGGACGAGGGCCCCCGGGGGCGACCTCCATGGGGGCGGCTCTGCCAGCCGGGCCGGGAGCCCCCCACCCCCCCGGCGCACCCACTCCCCACTGGCCCGCGCCCCAGCCGCCTGCTTGGCCGTCCAGGCTGCTGAACCACCGCCCCCTCTCCACTGCTGGTCTCCCCTCCCCTAAGGAAGGGGCCGGCAGCGGGGACCACGGACTCCCGCGCCCCTGAGGATGGGGCCGGCAGCGGGGACCAGGGACTCGCGTGTCCCTGAGGAAGGGGCCAGGAGCGGGGACCAGGGACTCCCGTGTCCCTGAGGACGGGGCCGGCAGCAGGGACCAGGGACTCCCACGTCCCTGAGGAAGGGGCCGGCAGCAGGGACCAGGGACTCCCACGTCCCTGAGGAAGGTCCCCTCTGGGCCCTGGCTTCCTCGGCCACCGTGCACCTGACTCCAGACTCAGCTCACCCCACGCAACAGGAACATGAGCTCCGTGACAACACGGGTGGGAGGGTCTCTTCTGTTCACTGCTGGATCCCCATCGTCCAGCGGTGTACCTGACGCTCAGTAACTATTTCTGAACTAAGTGAAGATCATGCTGATGTTGACGAGGAAAGAGAACGAGGAACAGGAGGGGAGTGGAGCAGAGCTGGTCCCGAAGCCCAACATTCAGAAGTGTGTCCGCACGCCCTTCGCCCTGGCTCTCTTGTGGTCCACTCTGCCCCGAGCCTGGCAGTTCTGGGGGAACCTAAGAGACTCAAACAAAAAGCTTTCAGAAGAAAACAGGAGGAAGGAGGGGTTAAGTGTTAAGGAGAGACCTTGTCACCTGGAGGATACGGGCTGGTTAGGATGCCTTTCTCGCCAAGAGTGACAGCTCTGGAGCTGTGAGCAGGGAAGAGGCAGGAAGAAACACACAAGCCAGGCTCACTGCCCGCCTGCTCCATCCACCCACCCGGGGCCTAGGGGCCAGACGTAAGGCCAAGCCCCTGGCATCCTGTGAAGAGACGCATGCATATCCCCAAGCTGGGCCCTGGAAAGGCAAGGTCAGGCTAGGGCATCTGGATCTCCAGGCTGGTCCTGCATCAAAGCCGGACACCGAGAACCCAAGGAGCGGGTACACACACGTGCTCTGCAAACCTCAAAGCACCAACCGAAGGCCGGCGCAGCACAGAGGGCTCAGCGCAGTCATCGCTCATGGTGGGCGTGGCGGGGGTGGTGGTGCGGGAGCACAGACACATCACACTGTGAGATTACAGCGAGCAGCTGAGAGCAGCTGACGGAGGCAGACAGAACTCACCGACGAGTCTGAACGTACGGAACGGACGCTGGCTTTTTCTCTGAGTCTGAATCTAGCCGTGTAAATCATCTCGAGGTAACTAAAATGCCTCTAACGACCAAATCCCAGCGAGCGGCTGGCCTTCACCGGACACTCCCCAGCAGCCGCTGCCCACCCGCGCGGAGCCCCCACGCTGCTCCCTCAGTTAAGGACCCACTGCGTGCGAGACACTGTGGGCAGGACGCGACCCCAAGGAGCCTACATTCTGGAACAGTCCCCGGGCTGTGAAGAGAAATGACTGCTTCTCAGGAGGAGCAGATGAGAACTGGCTGGCGTCCAGATACGCAGCTGGGGGTACCTGGGCCCGGAAGGCCCGGGGACGGCTAGGGAGAGAGCTGGGGGAGGTGCCGCAGAGGAGAGCGTCACTGAGGGCCGAGGCCGGGGGACACAAGCTGCGAGGCTGTAGCCCATGCTCCCCTGTCACAACCTCACCCCCGCCTGCAGGTCCTGGACTCGACTACAAATGTTAACCATTACCACGTCGTCACAGTTTTGTCACTGTTGTACACGGTGAATTTAAAGTCAAATCTAAGACTATCTTTTAATGAAACTTACGAAGTCATGGAACTTATTTCAGAGTTCGGCCTGCCCTCTGGTTCTGGAGATGAGCCACCACTCCCTACAAGTGCAGGTGTACCGTGGTGCCCTACGAGTGATCACTACCAGGCTGGCGGGTAAATAAAACGCAGGAAAGTATTCTCGACTGGGAATTCTTTCAAAATGCCATGGCCTTTCAATGTTTCCACACTGGTTTGGTCTCGATAAGCGACTCAGGAATGAGTTGAACACTTAGCGCTAAGCGAGCATGCGCCTGGACAGAAGGGAAAGACCTCCCGGGCCTTTCGTTATCGCCCCCGCCCTCCAGGCTCTGCCCTCCCCCGCTCCCCCCAGAAAAGTGCAGGGAGGGGGTCTGTTCTTCAGGTGGGGCGGCAAGGACAGTCAAGGGAGACAAGCGTCTCCATGGAAAACGGGCTCCGACTCCAGTGGGCAGGAAGGGGCCCGCTTCTCACGTGGCACTCGAGCGAGGGTGCCGCCAGGCTGGGAGAGGCCGGCGGTGACACGGCCTCCAGGGCTGCTCCACCCACCAAAGCCACCTCGCTCATCCGCGGTTTCAGTTACCCGCCGTCAACCGTGTCCGAAAATAATAAATGGGAAAATCCAGAAATAAACAAGTGCTAAGGTTTGCTCTCACGCGGTTCTGAGCACTGTGATGAAATCCCGCCCTGACCTTTGTCCTGCACGTCCCACCCCCGCCCTGACCTTTGCCCTGCATGTCCCACCCCCGTCCTGACCTTTGTCCTGCACGTCCCACCCGTTAGCCACTTAGGAGCACCGGGGTCATCG